TGCACCAACCAATGGGCGAGCGAAATATTGCACATATATAAAGGTGTCAGGAATAGCTAGTGCCGGCAATCTGGCCAGGGGTCATAGCAAGCATAACAGCCGCAGAGCTTTCGCCAAGGGACCATGTTCACTCATTATTCCCTCTCTCCTCTAACACACAACACACATCATCATTATAGGCTACCGACGCTTTCAAGGGGCCCTGCAACACTTTTTTGAGCAGGGTCAGAAAACACTGCTGATCGGTAGTAGAGGCTCCCGAGAACACGCGAGCTAAATGCTATAGCGTAGCACGCGGCCTGGAATTCACAATAAATTATCAAAGTAAGGTATGAATTGCTTTCTCTTCCCTCGACAAATGACGAAAGACGCTCAAAAATCACTCGTAGAATGCCTATCTATCAGCCATTGGCTGATTTGAACATGGCGCGCTCGGTCGTTACACAGATCGCCGCGGAAGGCCGCCACTTTTCAACGCGTGCGCGCGCGATCGCACTAAAAAAGCCGCGTATTCGAACAAAAAAAAAGAGAAAAAGTGCTCAAGGTCATGAGGCGCGCATGATGTATTTCCTTTGCCCATGCCATCCCTCCCTGCTTCGCTTCCAGCGATTTCGTCGGGATGAGACAAGAGAGAATGCGATTGCAGCATGTGACGAATCTTTGTAACTCCGCTCGTACAGGACGGATTTTGAAATTTTTTGTGGCGTTGAATTTGTAAGGAGATAAGCTCTTCCAGTGAATTATTTCCATGGTTACTCAAAAGAGTGTTTCAGGGCCCCTTTCAATGAAATACTAGAGGCCCCTGTAGAGCGAGATGTCAGCGCTCGTTTGAGAAGTCCACGTGGTCAAAATCACCAGGAGTCCTTCACCTCAGCGTCACTGGTAGACTGGGGTTGCTTTGGGACATCTACTATATGATATGAAAGTAAAGCCCTTGTTTTTTTCTCCACAGCTACGCATAGCACTCACGAAAAGGTCTCTAACGACGAAAGACGATCAACAAAACGGATACTCTCTCGCCCAGCCTAGCTGAGCGCGAGGCCTGGTGTTGAGGCACACCGTGCTTTGCAAACCGGTGGCTGTGCTTTGAGGCGGTACAGTTCAGCCCTATTCGCGACTCCAACTAAGCACTCGCCACCTAGCGGCCGCGCTGGAAACGGCACAAACAGGGTGAACATTGAAAGCAGACATGTTACCACGTTGCGCGCGTTCCGAAGCGGCCGCATAGTTCTTTTATCTTTGCCATGCCACACGCGCGAGCCCGAAAAGAAGAAAGCGATGTCCAAGGATCATTGAAGTGTGCCGCAATGCGTGGCATCGCAGAGGAAAGACGGCAACGCATCATTCTATCACTTTTCGAAGGGTGCAGAAGATGCGCGACGGAGATTCGCTCACGACCACTTAATTCTCCTCGGTGAGTACAGCATTAGTTAGCGCGCGTGTATTCTTATCAATATTCTAGCTTCTCTAATCACGGAGTATAATTAAGTTTATTTAAGCTAGCGCTTCAGGAAATTTGTTGCGTTACGTGTACGACTATATTTCGCACATGCTTGTTTTCTCTGCAAGTCGCAAAGCTACCCATTATCAAATTAAGCTGCTGTAATTCTCCCCCCCCCCCCCCCCCGCACATTTTGAACCCTCGCGCGTACGTTTGTGCGCGTGTATATACACATGCAAAATCCAAATTGTGCGAGGGGGGGGGAGTCGCTCGCGCGTAGCGTGCATGTTTGTATGTTCGTGTGTATGCATTTCATGTCCATGAATTCGTAGCGTGCGTAGTGTGCATGCATATATCTATATGAACTACTGCCAACACAAACAAGCGAGTGTTCAGAAGCACACGACCTTATTCATAAGAAACTTAATAACAGAGATCGCGAACTAAAAACCCCTATTACAGTAGGAACCATTTGCCTTGTCTCAAAATACAGTGCCCCAGAGCTTTGTGCAGTAATCAAGTAAACGGCATACGTATTCGCCTTTTGACGGGACAACGGAACTCAATGGGATACATGCAATCGACAGCACGAGTCGCAGCGTATATAGTTACCTGGAAAACTGTGAAGGCCTTGCCGGTAGCAGTGTAGTAACCAAGAAGGTTGAATTAATATTTGCTGGAGTGGAGGAGGCGGCCCTCAAGTGAAGCCGCGCGCCAATTGTCATACGTAGAAAGCGCGCCTTCCGCAACTCAAGCGGCTACGGCCGCACAGGTGTTCCAGATCTTCGCCGGCGTTGAATAGCGTTCGGACGTTGTAATGGATACATCCCGTCCTTCTTAAGGCTACATAGGTCAAGCGGAAAGGTGTTCTGAAATAATGTTCGAGTTGTGAGCATCGTATTTCTAGTTTGATGAAAACTGTATGAAGGAACACGTGCATGTTGATAGCTGTAAGCCCGTCTTCGCATATCTCACGATTATTCTTTTTCTTTCCAAACGGGTTTCTTAAGGACCCAAATGTTCGAAGCACTTCGGGGCGTGCTGATGAACAGTTGTGTCATTAGATGACGGGATGACTGGTAGCGAAAATACAGCGATCACATATGTTAGAGACAGATGACGAATTGTTACGGCCAAACTGGACTGTGACTAGCAAGTTATCCGACTGGGCTAGACGCGTTTATAAAACACCAGCAATGTCCACTGATTGACATCCTTGTGCTTGTTGATACCACTAGAGTAGTAAGCGAGCGGGAAAATAACACACCGTTAACTATTCGTGTAAATTAAATAGGTGTCTCCAACATTTCGTTTTTGATCACTGGCAGGGGAGTAGCCAGAATAGCTCACAGTGCACGACACGGACGAAGTGAGTGCGCTGTAAGCTATTGTGGATCTTCACCAACTAGCCCGGTCATAAACCTTCCGTAGCCAATTTTTTTTTTCTTTAAGGTTGGGGGGGGGGGAGATTTTGTTGTTTTCGGGAGGAGCACCCTCTTGAAACGACCATTTTTCGCTCTCTTGCCATAGAAAAAAAAATTCGCGGAAACAGGCAAAGGGGGGGGGGGGGGGCATGGGCCCGGCGTGCTAATCCCTGGCTACGACCCTGCTTGTTAGTTCTGTTAATTAGAAGCTTAACTTACTACCACGAGGGTAGTTAACATTATTTGGGCAACACATAGGGAAATGTGCCCCGCCGCGTTGGTCTGGTGGCTAAGGTACTCGGCTGCTGACCCGCAGGTCACGATGGCTGACCATCGAATCCCGGCTGCGGCGGCTGCATTTCCGATGGAGGCGGAAATGTTGTAGGCCCGTGTGCTCAGATTTGGGTGCACGTTAACGAACCCCGGGTGGTCGAAATTTCCGGAGCCCTCCACTACGGCGTCTCTCATAATCATATGGTGGTTTTGGGACGTTGAACCCCACATATCACTCAATCAATCATAACGAACTGTCTTTTTTTACATTCGTGCTTTTATTTTGTTATTTGAAGTGCAGCGAGCGAAAACCGGTGTCTGAATTGCGCAATGTGATGTAGCTGCAAAGAAAGCGACCATAACCGAGAAATACTCGTGCTATTATATGTATTCAACTTGAAGATGTGAGAGTTGCTTCGGCTATACGGCAACTCTTGCAAAAAAAAAAAAAAATGGTTCGTGTTTCTTAAGGGGAGCTAAAACAATTCCAGAAGAAAATTGTACCGTAGACATATTGTAGTTAACCAAAAAAAAAACGAGGCTTTATCCTTAAGCTAAAATAAAAGAGGTCAAGAATCAAAAGCCCATTTCTGAGAGTATGGGGGAGGGGGGACTCGCCGCAGCTTTCCCTCGTACACACATTTTTTTTTTCCGATGAGCATATCATTTTGTACGCGTGGTTCTTGGGACACCCACATTTATATTTCACCCAGGCAAAATGGTCGAAGTCTACATATGCATACGATTCCGTCACATGAAGAAAATAAACAAGAAAATGAATGCCTAGAAAGTGAACTCGGCTCTCACGAGTATGCTTCTTTTTTTAAAAACCAGCGTTACATACCCTTCATCGGTGTGCATGCTTGCAAGGGAAACGCTTTAAAAAACAGAATAAGGTAGACTATATTATTGAGTGGCGTTTGACTTGTTATTCTTGACAACTTACCACTTAATGCCCTGGCGGAAAAACCCTGGCGGAAAAACCCTGGCGGAAAGAAGCGGCGGGCGCGCTTTAGCTACCGTATCTTGCCTGTAGCAAGATGGCCGCCACACGCGCGCCGCAGCTTCACAGCGCCCCATTGATATGTATAGGCGCCCCCCACTCCAGCAAGATTTATTTAAACCTCCCTGGTAGCAGGGCAGCGCAAAAGTGTTAGCACCTTTTGGGAGAGGCCCGCTACACATGAGCAGCTGCCTTTCATAAATACGTGTTCGCTAGACAGGTTCTTAAACCTTTGAAGTACATCTGATGCGGTTTACCGAATAGGCTCGGATGCTAGCGTGAACAGCGCCAATATTCCCGTTGTTTGGCGAGTACGATCCTTCATGCCGATGAGAATGAGGATATCCGCGGCCAGCTACTTTTCACCTTCGAAGAAGCAGCGCGATCCGACGCCACAATCAAGAAACCTTCGCACAGTGCCAAGCGAAAGTGACGCGTTGACTGCGTTAGGCGCAGCCATCTTTGTTTTTCTTACCAGTATTGCCGGCACACGGAGCGTTTTCTGGAGTTACGAATTGCTTCACGTCCGCTCTCTTCTGGTCCGGCGTCCATGTTTCTTTCTTACTGACCCTGGCCCTAGTTGCAAACACACGTTGTCAGAATAGCCGAAACATACAAGCGTAAATGTATAGCGGGACAGCTGGGTGCGAGTGAGCTCAATATTGCACGGCTGTTCCGAGTATTTCCGAATACACGGTAATGTGAATCCGATGCGTCAAAGCACTGCAGTGCGCCAGTAGTAGGAGCACACATTTAGAACAACACTGCGAACTGACACGAAGAGAGAGCGGACGCTTTGGCTGGTCGTGTTGCTCCGGAATCAGCCGCCGGGTAGAAACCCATCGGAGCAGCCACGTAATCGTCTTTGAGCGATTCTTTTGTCCTACATCAATAAAAGAATAATTTAGCTTTTCCGCATATGTATCGAAAGTTAAACCTATTCTGTAAATTGTAACGCACACTTATGGTCAAATGAAACGCGAACAAAAAATTACAAACTAGAATAACTTCCGCGATGGATAACTCACTATCTCGGCACTACACATAAATTATGCAGTTGCCGAATAGGTCTAAACCTCCATATTAAACTCCACACTGAACGTGATTGAGGAACACGAACGGAAGAACGCGTTTAAGTTAGACCTAACGTGTCGAGTGTCCGTGAATATACACACGCAGGGAAGCCAGTAAAAAAAAAAAAAAAAACCCCGAGAGCTCGGCTTCTGCCCTGCACAGTTTTTGGGGAGGGTGAGTGCCTTCGTCGTCAAAGCCAGTGGAGCCAACTTCCGCACGGCGCCTTGTGCTCGGCCCGCGGCGAGGCGGCCGGCCGACCGCCGCAGCGCCGGAGGCTGTAGTTTGCGCCTCCGTTGTTGTCCCAGAAGCGGCGGCCGTCCTCGGCCTCGAAGCAGACGGCCAGTTCACACAGCAGCGGCGCGTCAGCCACGCTGATCTCGAACTCGAACTGGTCCACGCCGTCGGCCAGCGAGCCCGGCACGTACGAAGCCGGCCAGTCCACGTGCGACTGCCACCCGTTGGCCGTGTAGCGCACGAACACGTGCTTGTGGTACGTCACGTTGGCCACGCTCACCGTGCCGTACAGCGTCAGCTCGCGCACCGACAGGGCGCTCAGGCACACCTGCACCGGCGGTTTAGTCTTCACATCGACGGCACCCCTTGATACGCCAGAGATCTTTTTTTTTTAAAGGAGGCTTCTCCACATAAAATGTCTATCTGTGGTAAAGCCATCTTTAAAAGCATTTTTTTTTCTGGATATTATACGCTACGAGTAATCTTTTGTAGCTAAAAAACGAAAAATGAAAACGTTAAATGTCTTACCATTGCTGTAATATTTCACACACACACACACACACACACACACACACACACAAATATATATATATATATATATATATATATATATATATATATATATATATATATTATATATATATATATATATATATATATATATATATATATATCATCAGTTTCATTACGTCCACTGCAGGGCAAAGGCTTCCCTTATGATCCGCCAATCAACCCGGTCTTGTGCTTTCCGTTGCCACGTTATAGCTGCGACCTTTTTAATCTCTTCCATCTCCCCTTCGTGCGCTTGTGTTCTCTGGGAAGCCAGTCAGTTACCGGTTATTCGGCCTACGTGCCCGGCCCACGTCCATTTCTTCTTAATTTCGACTATGATGTCCTTAACACCCCTTTGTTCCCTGACGCACTCTGCTCTCTTCTTGTCTCTTACGGTTACATCTATATTTTTCCTTTTCATCGCTCGCAGCGCCGTCCTCTTTGTAATCCTCCAGCTTTCTGCTCCGTAGGTAAGTACTGGCAAGATGCAACTGTTATGTACCTTCCTCTTGAGGGTCAGTGGCAGTTAGTATAATGGCCTATACCACCTTTGTCTTGTACCTTTTGTTGAACTTAGTTACGATACTTGCCACCCTCTCACTGATGCTAAAGTATTCCTCTATGTTGACAACAATATTCTTGTGTATAAGAAACCCCACCCCTAATAATTTTCTGTGAACTAATCAACTGAATTAGTATATATATATATATATATATATATATATATATATATATATATATATATATATATATATATATATATATTATATATATATATAATATAAGCACGTTATGTACGTTTAATGATTGCAACGACTGCTCCAAGTAAATTTTACCCAGCAGGATTAAATGTTGGTCAACACATCAACACAACAGAGAATAAGGTGTGTAAATATGAGCGCGCCCCCTGCTTTACATGGGAATTATTTCATACCGTGGGAGATATTTGCAGAGTCGTCGACCTTCTTGTGCAGCCTATTTTATTATACATTATACGATCTCTTTTATTATCTTCATTCGCCGCAAATATAACTTCAGATTACTTACCTCATGTTTTCTACATATTATGCTCTCAAATATAACATTCCTTAATAGTAATTGTCTCATTTTTTGTTCATTGTCAAAAAGCGTACAATCTAATAGTTTAGACAAGTAATGAATGCAACATAAAAATACACTTGTGTATACGCATTTACTATCGTTCGCACACATCGAAAACAGTCATTAAAGGGGTCGTGAAACGGTCGCTTTACAACGACAATGCGGCACCATCGGCAGCCACATGCGCTAACTGTATCATCAGCCCGAGTGGACCTACATAGAAGCTTTGCCTATCGAGGAACGCGGAACTCTATGGCATATCGAGCACGCGCAAGAGGCGCTCATCGGCGTCTGCCATACGCGATCCGCGTCCCACAAGGACGCTGCCTAATATGACGTCAGAGTTCAAGTTAGCACTGATTGCGTATGACAAAGACGCTGACGAGTGTGCCAGCTGCACGCACGCAAGTACCGAAAAGTTCCGCGTTCCTCGATAGGCGAAGAATTACTTATGATGACGTCACCTAGTTAGTGCGTGTGGACACCGGTGGCTTCGCATTGTCGCTTTAGAGCGAGCGTTTCACGACCCCTTTAAGAAGGACTGTATGGTTGTCTAGAGTAACCACTTGGACACGCCAAAAAGAAATCACAGCTCAAAAAAAGAAAAATACACAGCTATAAAAGTAAAAAAAAAATAAACAGGTATACAATAGCATTTCTGTATCTTTTCTCAGACACATCAAATAACGGGAGTCTGCATTCATAATAAGAAAACCGAGTACGAAAAACACTTACTGCATCGAGTTATGGCATACACAAGTATCATCGCCATTTTTCTAGAAAATTACTCGCATGATGCATTTCGTCCTCAGCCGCAGGAATTAGGTCCCGAAACGCATTTGTCGTCCTGAGTAATCTATATGTCGAACTGTGTATCTACGCGAGGTCTTTATTCCTCGGTGAGCTTTATTTCTTTGAGGCACTTCGAATCCTAATCAGCGCAAATAGGTGCGCACATTCACAAGACAGCGTACATAAATAAGACTGTGCTTGTCCTACACGTACTCCTTCTTGCGAATGTGCGACCATATTCTAACTGCCTCCCGTTTCAAGTAAGTGTAACGTACTGGGCCACGAAAGAGATTTACTTGATTTTTTTTTTGTTCGAAACGTATTATTCTGGGGAAAAAAGGCAATAAACAACGTACAATGACGTACAATGCGAATTCTCACATGAAAGATATTTTCGCTCTGCCCTTCCACTTTTAGGCGACGTATTCCCGGTTATTTCCTAAATTATCTACTTTTTTTTTCGTGACTTCAAGCTTTCCGTTCTCGTGACGCGCCGGCAGACACTGGGTAAAAGCCCGTACGTCCGTGCCTCATATAATACGTCGTCCCTGCTTACCTTTTACCAGACACTACTTTGAATTAACGCAACGGGAAACCACGATACGCTCCCCCCCCCCCCCTCAATTTTCTCCGGTTTGCGGGAATTTAAGTTCATGTATACCAGTACCTTTTTACCCCAACACCTTTTTTAAACGTCTAGGGGCTATTCAGGTGCCAGTTCTTTTTTTCTTTTTCCCGCCTGTGGCGGCGACCGCAGGGCAGAACGCGCCATTGCAGCTCTGCGGAAGCGGCCAAGTGCCTTCGTTGGCGCAATTTGCCGGCTCGCCACACAAACGCATATCCGGGAGACAGGCTGGAAGGGCCCACAACGCTACAGCAGGCGCTCGTCTGGCGCGATTCCAGACGAGCCACTTGCGCGCCAAGCACGGCTCCCATCGGCACGTGGCTGTCTTGTCATATTCTAAGCAGCTGGTCTATCTGGAATGGCGCCACCGTGCGGACAGTTACGTGTTTCCTCGACGTGCCGCGACAGTGCATCCGAGGGACAAATAAAGGGCTCCCCGAGGGCATGACAGAATTCCCCGTAACCCCGTAGTTTATTCTTTCTTGCTACACACTAAAAACACACATGGTGCAAAAAATAACACACAAGGTAAGAGAAAGAATGTTAGACGAAAGGAGGGGGGGGGGGCAAGAAACAAAACCACCAGTCATGAAGTCAGGAAATAGTAGGTATTCATCATAGGTCGATCCCGAGTAGTGAAATTGAACGCTGCGCGATAATACGGTGCCGCTTTTGTTGTATTGGAAACATCTCCGTCAGAAGATAATGTTGCTATATTAGAGAGCTTTAGCTGGGCGGGTTTACGAGCGAGCGAGCTGCCCTCTCCGCTCGCCCGCTCGCTCACGAAATAGTTTCCCCCTTTCCGTTGGGGTGATATCGCGGAACGAGGGACGTTTCACGTGCAGCGCGCGCTTCGCAAATGCGTGGAAGCCAATGGGAGCGGAAGGGTCGGAAGACTCTCCTATTGTGCGCTTTTTCTAGCAGGGGAAGAGCAAGCGCTGGCGTCGCCGGGCAAATTCGAGCGGGTCACCTCTATAGTAGGGATTCTAGACACCCTACCTATAGAGCACGGTGCAAGAATACTTTAGGTGAGCGAACGACGTGAAGCGAGCGTTTGGCGGGGAGGGAGCGGTTATGTTCTCGTTTGCGGCGTACCGATAGATGGCTCGCCGGACTGAGGACCATGGCGGGCTGCTGGAAAATTCTTCAAAGCACATCCGGCACGTCAGGGACGGTTTACAAGTCTGAGAAAACCGGGTAATCGTGCAATACCAACCACGCGACACGCACAGAGCGGCGCCGCGAAAGAGAGGGCGATAAGGGAGAAGGTCGACGATGCGGCGAGGGTGTTGTGGCGACAATAAATTAGCACCACTACATTTCAACATCACGGGGCTTTCCTACAGAGAAATTTGGGTGGAAGGGAAGCCGGGGCAAAATTCGTAGCGCCATCTCCCAGGCTCCTGGCGAAGCTGAACATTATCGGGAAGCGGATTGTGCCGGCGTTCGCTCACCTAAAGTATTCTTGCACCTTGCCACAGAGTAACATAAAAATCACAAGAGTGGTCACTCGGGCCAAAAAGCGGCTGAGATGCGCTGCTTCACGCCAGCCATAAGATGGCAACACATCACGCACTGCTTAAAGGAAACCCGCGTACTAGTTATTTACTACAGTACATTCTCTAGTACAGTATACGTATACGTGTTTTTGCGTATGTGATAGTGACCTCAATCCGTCTTTATTGTCTCCGCTTGTACGCTCAATAACGTCGAGCAGGGAGCCGGCATGAGTCGTACGCGAGAGGAATGCACATGGCGTCGACGTGATGGCAACGTTGTCACGCTCCATATTCATGAGCAATTAGGGCAATGAAGAAGTACGGGCAGCAGCAGGAACAGGCTATAAAAGATGTGCGATAACGTGCCCGGCGTGCGTCGTGGTCTTCGCTTGTTTCGTCTGCCTCTCAGCTTGGCTGCTGCTAGGTACGAACGCCATCAATACTTTGTTGAGTGCGTATTGCATTAGTCATTGAAGGCCTAACCTAACTTTTCTGGCATTGTGCTGTTCGGCGCAGAGTGATTTTTAGCGCCCTTCATTTCGCGTACTGTTTTCGTGCATTGCTTCACACGAAAGAAAAGTGTCAGGAATGCTTCGCAGCACGTTTGCGAGAAAATTCTTTCTTGGCTCGAGAAATTGAGTCACCGCTCCCGTTGTTAGGTTTTCGTTGAGCCGCTACATGTATTAGAATTCACTGCACGAATGAGATTGCGTGAAAAGTGCAGCTCTGCTCAGTATCGTTGTCTGTGCCGTTCGCAAATTTCTTGAAGCGCTAACGAGCGCAATAAGAGGAAAGTGGTGAATCTAGAAAAATGTTTGCTACCTAAAGCTAGGACGTAACTTTGAGTAAATTTATTGATTGATATGTGGGGTTTAACGTCCCAAAACCACTATATGATTATGAGAGACGCCGTAGTGGAGGGCTTCGGAAATTTAGACCACCTGGGGTTCTTTAACGTGCACCCAAATCTGAGCACACGGGCCTACAACATTTCCGCCTCCATAACTTTGAGTAAACACTCCTGCCTCGTTAACGGCTTGCATGACACATAAAATTGCTTTGTTTTTGCTGCGGCGACTGCTTGTGGCTGTTTTTTTTTTGCGAAAGAGTGATGTAAAGTTTGCAGGAGAAAATTAGTGCGAAGGTGGGAAAGAAAGCGTAGCCAACGTTTTTCTTTTCTTTGTTCAGTTCATGCAGGAGTCAAGTGCTGAGGCAACTACTGCCGTGTCGCGTTGTGCACTGTATGTGTAGTTGTGGGCGTTTATTGCAGTTTTATTCTGTTGCAGTTCTTGTTATATTGTTACCTATATGTTTATTTCTTGTGTGTAATTTATAATCATGACATGTCAGCTGTATATTGGCGTCTCGCAGTGCAATGAACCTTTTTTTGTGCCTTCGTTTATACAACAATAATAAAGTGGACATGTGCTTACCAAGAATATCACTTGAAAATAAAAGTTTTCGATCCTCCAATGATTATCATGTTTTAATTAAAGTGTGTGAATAGACACACATTGGCATCGCGTGCTTGCCGCTCTAGCGGTGCAGCTTACACGAAGCTAATCGATGCATGCAAACGACGCGCTAAAAAAAAATAAAGTATTGACTCAGAGATGAGCACGCAGGTAGGAATGGTCTCGGAGGCTGTATAATAATCCTAGTCACTACAAAATCACCTTCGAGACAGTCTTTTCTGCGGTCTGCCATCTCTGAGGCTGCAAAGTTTCACCACACTAGTTTGGTGCGCTGCGAACGCAAATCAGCCGCTGCGGTCTATGGAAGTATCCTCTCTTGACCTTATATATTACTCTATGCCATGCCCGTCAAAAGTAATTCTTTCATTCATTCATTCTTTTTCATTTTGAGATACAACAGGCCGAAGCATTTACTTTCAACACTTTCGTTGAATGTATGTACGCTTACACTGCACGCCTTCATCACCTGTCTCGTTTCTTGCAATCGGATATCGTTACAATGATTGATTATATGCATTCACACTCTTACTTGCGCCACGATCTACGTCGCTTTTTCAGATGTTCTTACTTTGTACCCCGCGGAATCATTCCAAATGGACACTTTTCTTGTATTTTTATGGCATGTGCGTGCGTTTTGCACAGATAATTCATTGAAGCCTTAAAGGCAAACTTTCATATCTGACCGTAATTATTATTTGCTATCGTTGTTGTGTGCAGTGTTGGCACCAGCATCGGTGTCGTTCCCTCAGCAGGGTCGGATTGTGTGCAGTCCTCCCTTCCGAATCGATTGACATCTCGCGGATAAGACTGCGCTGCACGCACCTTGTCCTGGAGAACGCGCTGGCGCAGCTCGTCGCCGCTGGCCACCGAGAAGGCAGCCTCGAGGGTGGCTGAGGCGGCCCTCGGCTGCGGCGTCGCCTCCGAAGCAGCGGCCGGCGTCCGGATGCGGTGCACGAGGCGGCGCACGTGCTCCAGCTCCAGACCCAGCGCGTCGGCAAACGTGACCAGGCGGCCCCGACGACGGCGCTCCGGCCACCCGGGGCTCGGCTTGCTCCGGCGAAGAATGCCGCGAGGTGCACCGCTCGCCGCTGCGTGATAACCAAGCCAGCCAAGAGCCTGCAGTCGCCTTCACCAGGTCACACAGCGTGTCCCGCGCCACTCCCCCCCCCCCCCCCCACTTAATTCTTGTAGCAAAAGACCAGAAAACTGGGCGATTTCATTGGAATTCCTCATTGAAAGTTATTCAACGAGCACACCACTGTAGCAGCTTGAAGTATATAGCTGTGAAAATGCAGAAAAAAAAAGTGGAGCCATTTATACTATGTAGCTGGATGAACAGCCAATCTGCAGAACACCACGCACGATCAGACAAATGTACATTTATGTTGTTCATTTGATGATGCTATTGACGAAAGTCATGTCATTACTGCGATACACAATGATAGGATGGCTTACAATCATAGATTATCGGCCAAAATTAAATCTACACACGACGGTTGTTGGACGAGTCGGATTGGTATGACATTTTAAAGCAATCTCTTCAGGCACTAACTGAATGAAGTACTTTTTGTTGGGTTTTAATATGTCCACATCAAAGGGTCCCTAAGCCACTCCGAGTTCGAAGGCGAGACAGTGGTTCCTTTCTCGTCTTCACTACCCTTCCTACAGGCGACATCACCTCCTTGCCACTTATCGAACCTATCAGGATATCGCGCTTGTAGGCTACAAGCCGTCTCCGTGTGCGCAGTCAGAAAGGTGCAAGAAATGAAATCAGTTCGTCGCGCACATGGAGGAAGGAATAAACTGAGGAGAGGCCGTTACGTCCCATTTTGTGAAGCCGGAAGTAGGGAAGAGGACTCCTCCTCGCAATGGTGGGCACGCTACGGCGGCTCGCGCATGCGCAAAGGGCGCCAGCGAGCCCACGGACGCCATCTCACGGACGAGCGGGAAAAGCTAAACTTTTGTGCTATGAACAAACGTGCTCCGATACTCGCTTGCACAGCCCCTGTGTTTCATTCGCAGGCTCATTACAGTTCATATTGTGAATCTACAATAAACTTCTAGTTTTGCACATCGTGTTTAATCCGCTGAACCCAAGAGAGCAACGGCGCGAGTCGGGTCGGATAATCGCCTCGACAGGCTATTTTTTTCTGCAGATATGGTAAGTTCGGGGTAGGGAACATGATGAACAGTGAAATGTTATTTATTGGTCTCGCTATTTAGCCAGATGAAGCGCCTCCGGATCATTCTTTGCCATGCGTGTCACGATACGTGCGCACGAGTATCGTTCGCGGCAGAGCGGGTCAGCCGAACACGACCATATCGGGAAAAAAAAAATACATGGCCAAAAATGAGGTTACCACGCGCAAAACGTAAACAGGAAGCGATAATTCAAACAAAATATATCACCTTACTCTGTCAGGCATGTCTAATTCTTGACTCTGCAAGGTCCGGTGAAAACAGTGAACCACGTACTGCTTTCCTATAGTTGTGACCGTCGTACACGAGAACTCATCACGACCAGCGCACAAAAAGCGGAAGAAAGTGCACGACACAAGCGCTGTCAAACAAGTGAAAGTTTAATAGAAGAAACGTGTCATATATATGCAAACATGTTTGCATATATGCAAACATATATATGCAGAGGCTATCCAGAGAGGTACAGCAGCGGGGGTGGCAAGATTTTTCATCGAGAATATTGTACTGAGGCATGGTGCACAAACCGTCGTAATCACAGACAGAGGAACCGCATTTACGGCAGCTCTTTTAGACCATGTTTCGATGCTGAGTGGAACAACGCATCGTAAGACCACCGCCTACCTCCCGCAAACGAACGGGCTGACAGAGCGTCTAAACAAAAGCATTGAAGACATGCTTTCGATGTACGTAGACGTTGAACACAAAAATTGGGATCAAAACTTGCCATACATAACGTTTGCACACAACACGGCCAAGCAAGAAACGACCCGCATGACACCGTTCCGCCTCGTTCATGGACGGGAAGTACGAACCATGTTGGATGCAATACTACCGCACGAAGGCGACGACATCGTCCCGGACGCCGACACGTTTACGGAACGCGCAGAAGAAGCTAGGCAACTTACACGTTTACGGATCAGCCAGCAGCAAGAGTACGATGCAGGCAGCTACAATGATCACCGCAGAACAGTCGTCTACCAAACTGGCGTCAAAGTATGGGTTTGGACGCCCGTACGGAAACGAGAACTTTCCGAAAAGCTCTTAAGAAGATACTTTGGACTGTACCTAGTGCTGAGAAGACTGAGTGATGTCACTTACGAAGGTTGTTCCCGACAGTTCGTATAGCACAAGGCGTCGCCAGACCATCCTGAACTCGTTCACGTAGTCCGCATGAAGCCTTACGTCAGCGAGTGATTGTGCGAGACTTTTCTTGAGAAAAACAAAAACTTAATTACAGACTTCGCATCGGGGCGATGTTCTTTGAGAGGGAGGCAAATGACGCGTGTCTACATGTGGACGAAAACGATAATGGGGGATTTAGTGGACACGAGGTAGAGGGCCTCTAGCTTCACTCGAGACCAAAGAAGACGATCTTGTGGCTCAGCTGTTGAGAACACGCTGCTTTCGTTGCCTCAAGGTGTACCTGTGTTTTATTCGCGTTGTACGGCGACAATATCAATCAATCAATCACTCAATCAATCACCCGAAGCTCTGCTCCCTCTTCTGGGACTACTAAATCAACTTGCCTCACTAGCAGCCCTAAAACTTGCATCGTGAGGCAAAACTAAACGGGCGCAAGCACGGGGAGACAACACGGCAGCGGTAGGCGATGGAGTCGATATGTACCCGGGCATGTCGGTGGCGCATTTCGGAAGTGACGAAGGGGCGCTGCGTGACGCACGTGCACACTACGTATAGCGTATGAGCCAGGCCATATGTCTCCCAGTTATCATATAGTATATATACAGTATATATTGTATACGCAATACCTAAAGTAAAGTAACAGTAACTCTATCCTTTACCATTGTGCAGCGCTGTGGCGGTGGGAGCAATAACTAGTCTCCTCACCAGCGCAAAAGAGCGTTCGGCCGGCCGCACATCTTTTTTATTTAGCAGCCAGTTGCCGGCAACAGGCAACAGAGCCAAGAGGTGAATAAATGTCTACTTCATTACAAAAGGGACACAAAGGGGATATCACAAGACCAGTTTGGTGTAGTTATAAATTTGGTGTTGGGATTCAACATTCATACCTTGTCGCTGCAACTCTTATCTTTTGTGTTTTCCTAAGTCTTGAACCACTTCCTAAGTCTGAGCACAGGAACGAAAGCTGTCCACGTAGGGAGAGAAAGCACAGGTCCTGCAAGGAAAGCCTTAGTCGAAGCACCTGCCATTTGATATAATACTAGCCCTTTGTGTTCATCCACTCAAACTAGATACAGTATAATAATAATTACTGAGGTTTAATATTCCGAAACTACAATATTGTTATGGAAAAGAAGAGACGCCGTATCGACGAGGCTGGGGATTAGATGTATTTAAAACCAGCGGTTATGGCGTGGCTTGCTTGCTTGCTTGCTTGTGGCTGGTTCACCAGCGATCGAGCCGAGACAACCCTTCGTCTTCCTCATCAGGCACACACGCGCGTCGCCCCCTAGAATATCAATTTACATGCATGTAGCATAAACCCCGGCAACACAAGCACCGTCTCGGCGCATCTAAATGTCAACGTCACTAGGAGAGTAGTAGAGCTTCAAGCGCGCAACATGTACAATATCGGTAGCCTGTTGGGCACATGAAGGCGACGGGGCGACAGGACCACTTTCATATGTTACAGGAGTATCCACACGAAGGACTCGGTATGGACCTGTGTAGCGAGTAAGCAGTTTTTCTGACAAGCCAACTTGACGGGTCGGAGACCAGAGCAGGACCAAAAAACCGGGCGGAAAGCGTACGTCACGATGTCATTGGTCATACAAACGCCGTTGCTTCTCTTGAGAGGTCAGAAGGCGAGTACAGGTGATTTCGCGTGCGTGAGCGGCCCGAGTGATAGCGCCCATGGCATATTCACTGGTCGGTACTGCAGGGGACGGTATGACGGTGTCTAGAGGCAATGTTGGTTCTCGGCCAAACAGCAGAAAAAATTGCGAGTAACTGGCAGTGTCATGGCGCGAAGAATTGTAGGGAAATGTGACGTACGGCAACGCAAGATCCCAGTCGGTGTGGTTGGTATAGAAACATACTTAGCAAGCATGTCTGTAAGAGTTCGATTTAGACGGTCTGTGAGTCCATTGGTTTGCGGGTGGTATAACGCAGTCAGCTTGTGTCTCGTTTGACAGGACTGCAAGATGTCGGCTATGACTTTCGACAAAAAGGAGCGTCCACGGTCTGAAGCAGCTGCCGTGGGGCTCCGTGTTGCAAAATCACGTCCTTGAGGAGGAAGTCCGCGATATCTGTGGCGCAGCTTGTTGGAAAAGCTCGTGTGATGGCATAACGCGTGGCGTAATCGGTGGCCACGGCTATCCACTTGTTACCCGAGGAAGACCAAGGGGAAGGGCTAAGTAGGTCCAAGCCAACGCGGAAGAACGATTCTCACGGAATGTCAAGTGGTTGAAGGCGTCCGGCGAGAAGTGTCGATGGTGTTTTGCGGCGCTGACATTTCTCACAAGCCGCAACGTATCTTCTGATTGAGCGTGCAAGCCCTGGCCAAATGAAGCGTTGGCGTATTCGGTCGTAAGTGCGTGACACACCAAGGTGACCAGCAGTCGGAAGGTCATGAAGTTCATGTAGAACTTCCGAGCGAAGGTGTTTCGAAATGACAAGCAGCACGGCCGGTCCATCCGGCTCAAAATTTTGGCGGTATTACACACCATCGTGGAGCACGAATGAGCGATGGGACTGACTGGAAGATGGTGATTCGAGGCGCTCAATGAGAGCACGCAAAGACGCATCATGGCGCTGCTCGTCTACGATGCATGTCATTTGCGAAAGGGAAAAGACGCACGGCTCTGTGTCGGTGTCAGGTATAGTGCTCGACTCAGCAACCGGGTAGCGGGACAGGCAGTCTGCGTCCTGATGTAGGCGTCGGGACTTGTACGTCACCGAGTAGGTA